AGAGAGAGGAGAGAGAGAGAGAGAGAGAGAGAGAGAGAGAGAGAGAGAGAGAGAGAGAGAGAGAGAGAACAGACATACTATTGACCCACTCCATGTGAAGTAAATGCAGAGGACATTCTGGCCATTTGGCATGTCAAAGGGACGCAGTCCACACCCCATCTTGTCTCCTACTGCAAAATCTCTGCGCGCCAAGTTTTCTGGATAGTTGGGCACAAAAGATCCCCCTCCCTGAAAACATCTAAAAGTGAAAAATTACTTTAAGTTATTATTCAGTTATCATGTTTTCCACAAACTTTTATTTTACAGCTATATACAGATAACTTACTACAAGCTGTCAAAGCATGTCAAAACTTGTAATAATAAAAAAAAATTTAATATTGAATAAATAAATGGAAAAATAGCTAAAATCTGGGGGTACAGTCAATGTGAAAGAGTTTGCTGTAAGTCCAGTAAACTATATGACTTGTACAAAGGAACAAGCAACAAAGATTTATTTACGTAGCATTTTTTATCAAATACAGATAACTGACTTAAGCAAATTATGACAAACTATGACAATGTGTATAATAACTTTTAAGTCTCGTGGAATTTCAGGCCTCCATTTGGTGAGTTGTAATCTCCTATTTTGCAAAGTATCATACTATATACTTCAAAATCCACATTGGACTATGCTCTACTTGTTAAAGATGCAATTTCTCCAAATACTCCAATAACTCCAATACACCAAATGAAACAAAATACTCGCACTTGACAGCAGGAACTAGATTTCTAAAACTCCTTCCTTTTTTTTCACACCCTTTAAGAACCAGATGTTCACAGGAAAGAAATTAATTCAAAAAAGTATCTTACTTTCTGTCGTCAGCATGAAGTCCAATAGAATTTCTCCTCCAACCGGGCTGGTCAGATTCTGAATGGGATTTCGGCACAGCACCTATTGTGATGGCGTGGCGTTGCATATCTACGTTCAAAATCTCAAATTCAAAATAGTCATTGACCTCAAGAGGAACAATACCAATATACTGCCCCATTCCTCCACCGGTGCTCCTGAGAAAGAAGATAAATAATCAATAAATAATCAATAAATAATGATCATTCTTATTATACATCACTGATGTGAGATTTCAACCACTCCAAAGATATACAGTCCCAAGCAAGAGGAACAATGTGATTGAATTTCATACTGAGTGACAAAAACAAAGAAATTTAATCTCCGTATAAAAGCATATCATTCAAACATAGTTACATTGCTTAATTCTATACTTTGAACCTCAATTTATACTTCATTCCTTGCAGCATTCTAATAACCCCTGTACTCTGCAGACTCAGGATGCATTTAACAGCACCATTAACCCCCCATCTCCCAAACCTGCACTAAACAATGTACAGTTTCATAGCATTACTATTAAGTTCGCCTTTCTATCTCTCATGCACGCACGCACACACGCATGCACGGAAACACACACACATACACACAATCACCATACACAAAATACTTACCGCAAATAATTACCATCCAGCAATTCAACTCTTCTCATTAATGGTGCACGCTTGAACTTGGGCTGTAATTACACAGAGAGCAACAAATAATATAAAATAATATGATCTGAATACTTAGCTCTGCAAATCCATTGTGAAATTGAAAGAAGGTATGAATTTAATGCAGGACACATCAGTTTTATTTCAGGTCTCCACAAACTGAAATGCACAGCCCATGATACAAGTTTTTTATAGAACTGAATTTTAATATAAAATTTTAATATCATTAGTAAAAACAGTTTACATTGGACTTACAGTTTTGAATCTGAAAATCTCTCCTCTGCTGTGCATACCAACTGCAGGATAGGGTTGAACAGAAAATGTGAATCTGCTCTTGTGCATCTAGACATAAAAGAAAAATGCATAGATTATAACAAAGCCACTATTCTTACACTAATATGTAATATATTAATGTAAACATATATAAAATCAGCTTTCTAGAGGAAACATGGGCATCACACAGTTACAGCTTTGTTAATAATATCACCATGATGGTTAAATCATGGCCAAATGGACTAGATGAAAAATAATTGTTATAATTATTAATTTAGCAAATATGCTGTGTGACCCCCCCCCCCCAAAAAAAAAAAATTATTTTTGTTTTCATTGTAACCAGATATTTTTCAAATTTCATATCAAGGTGTCTTTAATGAAATTCCATTGAGTATAGTATTACATATTTTTCAAATTCTATGTCAATGTATCTTTAATAAAATTCCATTGAGAATTTTAATCTACAATCCTTTTTTAAATCAGATAATAGGACATTACATACCAGGTTCCCATTCTTCAAAAAATGAATATCCACGGGGACGTTCAACATTAGGTTTCCCTTATCATCAAACGGTCCTAAAACCTGGCAAGCCACAATATCTCCTGGACGGCCCACTTTGGATGAAGAGGCTGTCGAATTTGAACTTCCATTCTCTCTATCAAATAAACTGCAAGTAAAAGAAAATAATGGTTAACCACTCATACAAATTTGCCAGCAAGGAATTTGTGTTGATTATGCCTGACAATAATTTTAAGTATGCATGTTTCATCCTATTCAATGCCTATCATTGATATGCAATCAGATTAATATGCTTCCTCTTGTCTCCAGTGTCCTCATATAATCACCAGAGCTTCTGTATTCAACATAGTGCCACAAGGGGGACTGGGTGCTAATCTAACCACAGGGCTTTCAATCTGCTTACATTCAGTGAGAGTCCCAGTGGAGTTAGTTACATGTAGTACCATAACTAAAGTTTCACTGTGAATGCACATTAAGATTCCAAGGATGGATGCCTGGTAATTTTTTTGTTTCGCCCAACCTCCTCCTCCCCACCCACTGCCCACAATTTGCTAATCCTTCCTGTATTTTTAAACAGTCTATTTTTCTAGAATAATTTTAGTACCTGCATAACCACAGAGAGCAAACCAGAAATGATAAGATATATGAACTTTACTATGAAAACACAAACAGACAAAACAAAGAAACAAAGAAACAAAGAAACAAACGAAGTCAGAGAAATCTCACCTTCCATCATCTAAATGGTATGCCACCGAGTTCCGTTCCCACCCTGGCTGTCTGTTAGACTTGTGACTTGCGGAGACACAGCCCATTGTAATAGTGCCGCTGCGACCAGTGTCCACAACTTCTATCTCAAAGTAATTCAGATCCTTGCAGATCTTTTCATTTGCAATGAAAAGAGCAACATTTGAGTTAAAAGTGTACCTGAAAAACAAATAATAAAAATGATAAGAAAGAAACATGAAGTACCCAGAAGACTGACCGATCAGATTTGTCACGTTTCTATAATTCTTGCAGCAGTTTGTTTTCAATCAAAAATCTTACGATAAAAAATGAAAAATGTTTTCTTGTTTACAATAATTATAGAATTAAATATGATTTACTGTTACTAAGGATAAGAAGCGACTATTAGAGACATCTCCATACACAAGTAGTACAGTAACTGTAAGTTTTACAGATTACGGGAAATACCTCCTCTATTAAAATCCCTGTCATTTCATTACTAGAAACAGCAAAGAGAACCAGACAACAGAGGAAGAGCTTCCAGCAATTTATGCAACAAGGGCAAACTATCACTTCTGCTATTAGAAATAATGTTTAGTATGGAGGGGTTATTTTCAAAATTCAGGGGATATTTACTTGAAGTCTCCTTCCACTTCTTCTATCCCTTCCAATCTTGCACACGTTATAGATTTAGATTCTGGCAGTTTCTTCATAATTGGCGGCAAAGACTGATCCTGCAAAAACCGGTTTTGAGTATTCATGTTATCTATCTAATATCATGTATAAATGACCATAAACTATATAATAGCCTTTTGTTAATATGCTTTTATTAAAAGTGCACGTCAGGAATAAATGTTTGGACTTGACCTAAACTGGACTTGAACTGATATAATTAATATATAAAAGTAGATTTAGTTTAAAATGACTGGCCAGTCATTTAAACCAGCAACCATCTTCCTAAGCTCCAATGGAAGTATCAAAATCACGTATGCTCCAGAAAAAATTATTTAGGGAGGTTTAAAAATAGTTTTTAAGTTGTATGTAAGGTTTTATAAGAAGTTTTAAATGAATGGCAAAAATAAGCATATGGGGGATTTTCAAACCCATGGAGTGTACCTTTAAGCAAACTTTTTCAATATACTGGGCTTTGCTTTTTTCGATAAACTAAACCTGGCTTTAACAAACAAACATACCTAGATTTCTTGTCTTACCTTGGCAATTACGTTTGTTATCACTTGTGAAACATGCTGCACACTTTCTTCTTTGCTCTTGGCAAAGTCAACAGGTATTATCACTTGACTAACTCTTCGTGGGGCAACAGACTCAAACAATGGCTAGGCAATGAAATAAAATGAAATGTTTATATCAAAGCGTAATAATGCTATTGCTATTGAACAAATATCATTAAATAAATGCTTTTATTATT